TCCAGAATTTCCGTTGTCCTTTATATATCAGATAATGAATAACTTACCCTTCTATCTTCCATCAAAGCATACGTATCGTGTTCCTTCTCCATGAGGTATTTCAGCACATCATTGTGACCCTCGGATGCAGCAAACCAGATCGGTGCGCAACCGAGATTTGTCTCGGTTTTCGGAGATCCGCCGCTGTCCACGAGCAGCTTCACGACGTCCAGATGGCCGGCGCGTGCCGCACAATGCAACGGTGTCCAACCGTTCTTGTCGGTCGCGTTTATTTCCGCTCCCTGACCCAAGAGGACCTCCACCATCTGATAATGTCCGTGTGTCGCCGCGATGTGCAGCCCGGTCTTACCGTAACGATCCGAGCTATGCAACAATTCCGCTGATCTGCTCAACAGCAGACCTACGACAGTTATGTGACCACCGAAGCAAGCTAGATGCAAAGGGTTCCAGCCGTTTTCCGTTGTCGCTGCGTCCACCTTCGGTCAGAACGTTCTTATGTTCAATTGAAATGTTCAAAGCGACAGCGATTTAGTCCGTCTTTTTAACAGCTTGAGAAAATTAATGTAAATCTAATGTAAAGTGTAACTTTAATTTTTTAACTTAATTCTCTCGAAATAAGAAAGCTTGTTATAGCACATTGAATTTATTAGTTTTTCCTAACTAATTATCGCGATATAATAATCTCAGTTTAAGCTGCAAGCGTTTATTATTGCCTAAATTTTTGTCAAAATTGTCGTCTTAAAGTATTTGTATATACCTCTACAAATTAAGTATATACCTCTACATATTTTTTTACATATAGACAAAGTTTTGTCAGAGACATAAATTAAGATCGGCTAATATTAAATCCGAATGTAATATCATTACTATTATAATCAAATCTGTTGTCGAAGTCGTACCTGGACACCCGCAGAATTCAGAAGAAGTCGTACGACGTTCTCATTTCCAGAATAAGCAGCCAGATGAAGAGGAGTCATGCCAGATTCAGCTCCTAATTCTCCTACCAAAGATCCTCCGGCTGGTGGATCGGACTTCACGGTTCCGGGTATGTGAGTTAGCAATTCTCTAACCGTATCTGAAATCAAACCAAATATTCTTTTATAATAAATAAAATGTAAGGAGATTATGAGGAAGTACAACTGAAGGAGTGCTATTTTAGTTAACATATTTAAACATCTCTTTAAAATGATTTTAAAAATACGGATATATCGAACAAATATAAAATGCATTCCAATTTAGCAATAGCTTTTGTACGGAACTAATACGGAATTAATTATTAACTTCACCAATGATATATTATCATTAATTAGTAATACTCTGTAAATAAATAAATGCATGTATACATATAAACACAATTATTTACAAATAATTAATATATTTATTTATGAGACTTTCACTCACCGGCTTGTCCAAAGTAAGCAGCAACGTGAAGCGCGGTGACACCGAGCTTCTTGCTGGATATCCTAAGAGATTGCGTCGACCTCATCACTTCAAGTACCTGGAGGTGGCCGTGCTGAGCTGCCAGATGAACCGCGGTAAAGCCCGCGCGATTTTCGTCAGCGCATGATGCGCCAGCCCTAACCAGAGCCTTCACGACCTCGGCGTGTCCACCTTCCGCCGCCAGTTGCAGAGGAGTCGCTTCCGTCAACTTATTCCTAGCGGTTATCACACCCTGCCTGTCGAACTTCATCAGCTCTTCGATCACCTGGACACTGCCTTGCATGGCGGCGATGTGGGCGCAGGTATTTCCGTCTTTGGTGCAGGCCATCACCAGACCAGCGTGTCTTTGCAAAAAGAGTTGCGCCACTTCGGCGTAGTTGTTCATGGCCGCAGCGTGAATCGGTTTTTGTCCTTGGTCATCTGTGGCATCTATACTTGCGCCGAGTTCCAATAGTAGCTTGCAGACCTCCAATTGACCCGCTCCCGCTGCCAGGTGAAGAGGTGTTTGCTTCCTTAAAGTGAGCACATCTATCGCGGCGCCATGGTCTTGTACGAGGAACCGCACCAAATGTGTGTAACCGTTCATGGCAGCCAAATGCAGGGCAGTCCTTCCCACGCGCGACTTAGAGTTTATGAAGGCCTTGTTCGCCAACAACGCATCGCAGACTTGAAGATAGCCGTGCTCAGCGGCTAGATGAAGAGCGGATCTACCCTCGAGATCGAACACGTCCACTCGTCCGTGATTAGCGAGGAGAGTGGTCACCAGTTCCATGTGACCCCGATGAGCGGCGATCAGCAGTGGCGTCCAACCCACGGCGCTTTGCCGGTTCAAGGCCTTCTGCACTTCCGTAGCTGACATGCGACTGATCATTTCCGTCAGAACCTCGTTGTTGCCGACGAGTGCGCAGTGATGAAACGCTGATTCCTGGGCCTGTCTGGTCTGCAATGAGACGTCCGCGCCGCTATCAAGAAGGATGCGAACAATGGCGCGATCGTCGCCCGGAGCTCCGACTTCCGAGGGTTCGATTTGGGCCGCGTAATGGAGCGCGCTGGCACCTTCGTTGGTCAGACTGTTCACATAGGCAGTCGCGACTTCCGGACCCTTATTGTCTTTTACGAATTCTATCAAGTGTCGGACGACATCAGCCCTGCAACCCCTGCAGGCTAAATGCAAGGGCGTTTCTCCATTCTGAGGAAAATAGAAATCTCAGAATAAATGGAAATAATTTAACAATTATCGTCTTAAAGTTATAATTTTTTACATAAAGCATAGCGAAAAACAACATTTAATTTATTGCAATATTATATAAAAATTGTATTTCTGCGAATTAGATATCTTATTTCTTGCTTTAGTGACATACTTTTGATTTGAACATCGGATCTCCGCCATCGTCGAGGAGTAAAAGGAGTGTCGCTAAGTTCCCATGGCTGGCTGCGACGTGCACGGGCGTTTGGCCGTCATCGGTTGTCAAATTGGGACCTGCTCCAGATTTCAGTAACATCAAAGCGCATCTGTCGCCATCGGGTACTCTGGCAGCTATGTGAAGCGGAGTCTCCCGAAGTTTTCCACCTCTCACATGTACCTCTGCGCCGTATCCCAGAAGGGTTTCCACGACAGCTGGTTTGGCACTTTCCACGGCTATATGGAGTGCCGTATAGTTATCGTTAGTTATCGCGTCCACCTAGGTACAAAAAGAATAAGCAATTTTCATACAATAAAATTTAGTACTTGGAAATACATAGAAAATATCTTAAATTGAATGAAAACCAAATTTCTTGATACTTGATTTCACATCTGTTGTATATGTGAAATAAATACTTTTCAGTAAATAAAAATCTGGTACTTTCAAAATAATATAACTATACAATAAAGATTGAATTTAAAATACGCGAAACATTTAATATGTTTACAAAAGAAAAAATTAATTTCGCATTTGTCAAAATATTTATAACTAAGAAGTTACGCATACAATATCATATGATATACTCTCGTGTGATAATAGTATTTTCCACATCGCTGACAAATCACTTACCTTCTCTCCTCGTTGCAGCAGAGTGCTGATAATACCCACATGGCCGTATCCTGCAGCCGTATGAATGGACCTGGCACCACGTTTGTTTGGCATGTGCAGATAGACGCCCTTCTTGAAGAGCATAGTGGCACATTCCGAGTGACCGTTTAACGATGCTATGTGCATCAGAGTGGAGCCGTCTTTCGTCCTTTCGAAGATACTTGCTTTGAATTTATCGGCCAGCAGCTCGATGATGGTAGCGTGGCCGTTCTCCGCGGCCAAGTGCATCGGCGTACGATCTTGGTGATCGGTGATCGAGGCCGATGCTCTGACACCGTAAAAATATTTCACTAAGGTTTCGTCACCTTCGGCGCTCGCTATGTGTAACGCAGTTTGTCCATCGCCCTAAAATACGTATTACATTTTTTAGATAGCTAATATATTTTAAGTAATTATATGTATATCTCTCGATAGGGATAGTATTGCATGTAGTAAGTTTTGTTTAAAGGCAAATTTTATACATTTTAATTTTAATTTTTATATATTGGTAATACAACAAATTCGAAAAATTATTTCTTTTTTATTTTGATTACGTTAGTAATAAAATATATAATTAAACAATTACTCTTTTTTAAATTCAACTTTTTTAAATAGAACAAAACAAAGCGCGCGCTTCGCGCGCGCCATTTATTCACTATCCCTGAAACATAATACACACACGCGCGCGCACACGCACAAATACAAATATCATATTAAATATCTCTACTTTTATATATCTCTTATATGTATCTCATGTCCTATCTAAAAAAAGGCATGTCGATAACTCCTATTTCTCGTCTTACTTTTTTCTTTCAGGTATCAGTTTTGTTTTACAAAATATATATAATACTGCTAACAATATCTTTTGTAATCAACAAAAATGTCGAAACATGTTTTTTACAATGATTAAGAGAAAAAGGAATTAAAGAAATAAAATAGCGATAAAAGGAAAAAAAGAAGTGTAAGAGTTTTAAAACGAAGAGAATCAAATTCATTTGTCTTTTATAAAATATTATATAAGTACATGTTGCTTCACCTTCGTGTATTACATTTATAATTGTCAGATGCTGTGTCTAATTATTCGCTGTGATAATTATAATCTGACAATTATGTATGTAACACACGAAGGTGAAGCGATATGTATGTAATATTTTATAAAAGACCAATGAATTTAATTCTCTTCGTTTCAAAACTCTTATTCTTCTTTCCTTTCTCCTATCACTATTTCATTCCTTTAATTCCTTTTTCTCTTAATCATTATAAAAAACATGCTTCGACATATCTGTTGATTACAAAAGATATTGTTAGCAGTAGTATAATATTTTGTTAAACAAAAACTAATACCTAAAAGAAAAAATACAACACGAAGTATCAATTTTTTAAAATAAAATATTAAGACAAGGTTAATGTTATACTTTTGACAATTGTTAAATCAGAATACTGAGTAAGTGTTAGCTTTATATAAATATATGTATATAACATAATATATACATAAACGTATAAATCAGCATCACGGAAAAGCGGCAATAAATAATTTCGAGAAATGTGAGTTATCGACTTAAAATGCCTTTTTTTAGATAGAATCTTTTAATTATTACAACTCGACTTATATCATTACCTTGTTTCTAATATCACATCTTAAATATACTATACATATATTGATATTAAATAAAAATTTAAATTTTACTGATATGAATTAGTCGATACTTATTTTCATGCGTTATGTATACGCACGCTCTTTTAAATTTTTGTGACTCAATTAAGAGCCAATGTATAAATTGTTGCGTGATAGTAAAAACTGCATCGTAAAATTATATGGGATACGCAGGTACAATTGAAGTAATCTTTAGAAAATGTAAGACCGTGTCGTAAATTTTACGACCGCCTCGTTCCCAATTATTGCTCATTTAGAAACATAACTTTGCAGTTGCAGCAATTTATCATGTGCGTCATTTCTGTTTCGTGTATACGATCGATCTTGTCAAGTTTTGCACTTAATTTCCTTGCAGGGTCAAAATTGATGTCAGAATATGATTGCGGTATACACGAAATTTACGCTTTTAACGCTTTGCGTTATAATTTAAAATACTTTCATAACCTGATATCAAAATTCCATTAATTTTACCGGAAGTTAATTAAACAGTAACATTATATCGCACGTTTGTATCTCGGAAATTCGAAATTATTTACGCGTTGAAAAGATAAAAGAGTTAAATGGTAATTTCCGACTGTCATAAAATTGTAGAGAGGATAATTAAACGCGATATAGTTTACCAAAATGCGCGGCCAAAAATGGTAAAGAGTTCGCATTGTATTTACATTGCAGCGTATAATTTGCGAGCTTCGACGCATTCAGCGGTTATATATACAATTGGCAAAGTTTCAACAAAATATACCCCTCTGATCATTATCGGCTCAATTTCACTTCATCCAGGATCTTTGTGTTTGGGATTTAACGTACATTTTGCATGTCGACGACCGCACCGTAATCCACCAGGATCCGCACCATGTCGATGTCTCTTCTTCTAGCGGCCAAATGCAGGGCGGAATCACCGGCTGGCGTGGTGGCGCGAAGCTGATCTGGCGCTTGCTGTGCCAGAAGTTCCCGGCTCATCGATTGATTGCCAGCCTCGACTGCTAGCAGAAGAGGTATCTTTCCTTTCTGCGACGGAAAATGAGATTAAGGATTAAATTGTAAGTGATAAAATTTTATTCCTTTTTCCGATTCTACTCATGGTAAGTTTAGATTACGTAACATGATGAAATATAGAAATTGAAAATTAAAAATATAAATATGTATAAAAGAAAATTTTTTAAAATTTTTCTTAATTTTGTAATTTATTTTAAAAATATGATTTTTTGAAATAGCTTGCTAAAATAATCGCTGTTTGAACAAAATTCGAAAAACTTCGCTCCACTTTATAATTTTGACCGCTCACGTAAAGTATATTTTTCAAACTTAATGAATGTCAAATGTTTATGTCATTTCAAATGAAATTTAAAAAAATGAATTTACTACATTTATTACATTTTACTACATTTTATAATTATTAATTACGAAAAATGCTTGAAATGACCGTAAAAATATTCTATCGAGAGATACTAATATTTCGTGTAAAGAAATCGACAGATATTATCGTAATACATGACACGGGAATTTTCCGTGCTTATGCGAAACATTCGAATATCGATATGTTATATCGGCTTGATATAACATGAATCGTTATTGTTTTTTTCCATGGGCGGCGAAGTACAGGGACTTGTCCTCGATCGGTGGCGTCGTACTATCGCGACGGGGTTGTATGACAAAGGGCGAGGGAGACAGGGAGGAAAAAGCGAACTGGAGAAGAGTTATGGCGCCGTTCGGTACCAGGTAGCGATCTCTCGGCGCGCGGCACCTGTCACGCGAGAAACGCGGACGCGAAACGGGAGCATCACGCCGCGTCGCTGGTTATTGTAGAAAAATCTTTATCTTTGTCTAATTTCGAAGTTTCGAAACCAACGTGTGTCTACTTATGGTGTCACACGATTAGCCCGTCCTGAACAGTTGAAAAAATCGACTCGGTTGGCAATTTCGGGCTCCCTCGAACCTCGATACATTTGCTCGAATTTCTATTTGCCCTTTATGCAACTTTGTGAATTTATTTCGGGCTGTACTTACACCGTCGACCTTTAGTCTGATGTCTCGTCCGGCAGCGCCTAAGAGAGCTCGTAGGATCGACGTCGCCGTGCCTGTTTGTCTCGATGCCACCAGGTGAACCGCCGTTTGTTGTCTCGGCTGTGCACAATACATGAATATGTATATTCCAAGAAGTCACGGATATTTATTAAACAGAGTAATTTAAGTCAATTTAATGTCGATTCTAGCACTCGTAAATCCGTTATTTAATTATCATTGTCTCGTTATTTAAATAGGTACCAAAAAAGTGATAAAGTAAAATAGTCATAAAAGTCTAAACTATAAAAATTAGCCAGAGAATCTGTGATTAGGCGGAATTAAATTACTTGCAATAATTCAAAGTAAAGCTCTTTTCTAAAAAGCCTCAGAATATAATCTTATAAGATTTTACTACACGCTCATAAATTTTGTTCTAAAATCGCTATGACTGACTTCCTTAGAAAAACAAAATTATTCGTACCCCTCCAGTGGTGTATGGATCAACACCTCTCTTGGACAGCAATAATTTAACGACGTCCTCCCTCGAATACATAGCAGCGATGTGGAGGGCATTGTAATTGTCCTGCAGAAATTGTGTCAATGAAATGCATTTGGAAGATGTCCACCTCGAATATCAATTCGAAACTCTCGATCAATTTATCCGATAATGAATCTTGCAAATTATGTAGTCGCTCCGAATTCTTTTCATTAGATTTTCATTGGATTAGTAGTCAACGTGCAAGAAACGAGTTTTACGGAAATATGTAAGTAAAATGATAATGGAGCCATGTGTTCTACCCTGCCGCGCCCGTTTCGGGCTTGACTCTTTGGGCTTGATGTTTCAGGTTTCAGGTTTCTGATCGCGGCGTATCAGCATGCTATTTGAAAATTATATTGGAATCATTGTGGGAGCGGTAGATCGATAGTCGCGGAGTATGCAACGCCTCGCACGTGTTTGCAAAGTGATGCCCTAATATAGTTAACGTCACGTCGCTCTTAACATAAGGAGCAATACGGAGCTGTATGCAGAAAGCCCGTCTTCGCGCATTGACGCTAATAATAATTACATCTCTCATTAACAATAATTAACCTTCTGTTGTTGGTAAATTACTCGCTCATGCAGCAGTCGTGCACGTCGCAACCTACGGCGGAGATTTTAAATAACGCGACCGTCATTCTTTCCTTTCTTTCTTTCCTTCTTTCTTTTGCCCCCGAGACACGTGGGACATTTGAAATCGATAAATTTTACTATAGACTTCTTGCGGCGTTCCCAATGACTTTCAGAAGGTTGCACCGTGCGCGCTACATAATTGAACCCCTGTCCGGGGTGTCAAGCGCAAAAAGCCAGCTCGGTGGGCAGCTTTTTAAAGGTTTAACGATCAAACTTTAATCTACCCTTAGAATCAGATCCCTTTCTCGTTGCAGCTGATAGCGAGCCAACTTGGCGGCCTACTTATCCATTTACACGGGTGCCCGTCTTTGTCCACTCGGTCAGTAAGTATAAGCCCCTTGACCTTGGCCCTCCTTCACGCAATCGTTCCCTCCCGACTTAGTCACTTGACTTAGCACAGATTGCGGCCTGATCATTAGCTGTATGTACACGTTTCGTGGCACGCGTCACCTTCGCGGATATTATTACGTGCCAGTGCCACGTAACCCCAGCACGAGAACTTATCGCGACGGCAATGAATCAAGGAATGATGAATCAAACATTTTTTCCCCTTGGTTTTAAATGCAATATGTCGAAAAAATTTTTCCGCCCGCGTATGATTCCTACTGATAAAGTAATTAAAGCTTTCTTGAATTTCATTAAGGATGAAGGACTCGATTTGTCGAACGATTTGTCTTATTTGTCGCAGAGTACTTGCATTGTTTCTGGCTCCCACGTCGGATCCGAGATCGATCATCCGATCGAGTAGCGCGCTGCGGTTGTCCTTTACTGCGTACATCAACGGCGTCATCCCCGTCGTCTGCAAATAAAAAAAAATCTTTGTTTAGAAAAATGAGTTTGTCGCGCGATTTATAATTGTCCGACCGTCTCGCGTCTATCTAAAACTTCTTGTTAAAGTCTCCCGCGAGTGAGACTCTTCTGTGACAAGGATTCATTTTGTCTATTAAAACGTACTTTCGCGATTATTTCTGAAAATCTGATTGATTTTTTCGTGCCGAAAAAATTCTTCGATCTCTTCGTCACAGTCATGTGAATTGATGTGCCGAAAATTACAAGATTTTTGGAAACTAACCGTGTCCAAAACACCGGCGAGCGGCACGATGAAGCCATCCTCCCCGGCGCTCTGCACCGTCTTCTCCAGAGACTTGAGCAGCTGGTCCACGGGGGCCCATTCCCCGCGTGCCGCCAGGCCCAGCAGCCTCTGGGCCCCTTCTCTGGCGGTCGCGCCCGCGGAGCTGGGCTTACTTCCGGGCTGCGTTGCCTCTCCCGCGGTCGCACCGCCGTTGCTTCCCGTCGAAGCTGAACCACCATCTTCCTTGCTGCCCAACGGGCTGTCCTCTTTGCTGGAGGGATTCTTCTTGTCGTCCTTGCCTCCCGGTGGCTTCTTGCTGTTACTGCTCATGCTATGCTACGTATCCCACTGCGTGGGACGCGAGCATGATTCGCTCGAGCGACTCACTCTCGTTCAAAATTGCACACTGTTAATGCGGTACACGGAACAGCGAGAAATTGTACGGCCATCGTTTGGCGCGGCGTACATTTGACAGAATGGATGGTCACGACGCTCACATTTAAATGGCTTTGAGCGACTTTGAGAGCTAACGAGAAATAAGACAGTTTTACTTATATAAGACTTTATATAAGACTTTATATAAGACTTTATATAAGACTTTATATAAGACTTTATAGAACTATTATACGAACAATTATTTTATGTACAATCGAGATATATTTGCAATAAGTGCGAAGAGTGAATGCTCCAAAATGTATTATCGGAATAATACATTTGAAACATTCAAGACGATAACACTTTCATAGAAAAAAATACGAAAGTAAGTCTAACAAAACCACTGAAGGTGTCATTATATTTAAAGAATTAATCTTTTCTTCGCGACACTTGTAACATTTGTGATATTCCGGAATTCAATAAATATTTGTGTGTATTTATAACTAAAAATAAATTAATGTATTCCCAAAAATTATTAACACTTAAGATTTTGTGTAGTTATTGCGCAGTAATTTTTAAGAAATTAATTAACAGCAGTTAACATTACATATATGTATTTTGACGGTTCAGTACAAACTTCTGGCCCTCCTCAGTATTAAATAAGTAGAGTGCCGCGAACGTTCAAGTGTATTCACATCACAATATCCAGTAAAAGTGGAAAGACTGGGTGAGATCTGCAGATAACGAGCTTTCCTAATTAAAAAATTAATCTGTTAATATAATAACACGTTATTTTTTAAATTAAGGATGCAGGATTATTCGCAACCCTCACTCAGTCTTTACGTTATTATGCTCGAAGATCTATTAATCTCTAAAATATATCTCTTTAGTGTAAATGCAAGAAGAAGATCAATGAATATAACGACGCTTTCAGTGAGTTCCATTGGATTTTTTACTTCGCGTTTTGTATGAGAGTACCGTCTTGAGAACTGAAACAAAAGGTCCTTACAGTTGACGCACTTATTTTATTACTCGGTCAATTGCGTCGAATGAAAATGTTAACGGCACCGAAACAAGTGTTAACTGCACGGTCAACCTGGCGATTCTGAAGAAGGTAATGTAATCCAGGGTGAGAGAGTTGAGAAGACGAGAGAGAGGGTTGCTTCCCTTCGGGCCTCGGCTCGCTCGGCAGGATCGACCAATCGCCGACTCGTTCTCGCGGTTCGTTAGGGTAACGTTGCACCAATACTCCTCCACCTTCGACCTGCACGGATTACTTTTCGCGCACACAGACGCGAATCCGGTGGTAGGCCGTGCTGGCCGTCGCTGGTAGCAGGTAAGGAAATCAGGTAGGAGGTGGTGGTTCCAGGTGGAGGAAGGGTTGAGAGTCGCGGAGGGGCTGTTATGGCTGCCGTCGACACGCGACTTCCGGACCAGCCCGGCAGGCACGCTATCCGTCTATCTTGAATCCACCGGACTCTGCCACGGCTCTGAATAACGTCCCTCATTCTTCTTCGCTTTCTCTCGCTCGAGACTAAAGACTCGCTCGTGCGTGGTCTCTATTTTTCGCTCTCACAACATGGCTTTTTTTTCTTTTTCCTTCGATAATATAGGTACGTACACTTTCGGCGAGCAGGGAAATGCGAGTCGCGTGATAAAAACGTGCGATAAATTGTATTTAACATAGATGACATTATATAACATTCACCAAGCCAATTAGCTATGAAAAACATCAGGGAACGTTTAACAAAATCTCGAGATATTTTTTCCAATATAAGCAAAGTAAAAATATTTAAAAAATCTAAAAGGTTGTCTTCTTTAATTACTGAGAAAAGTATTCAATTTACGTTACAAAATTTAAAATTCCAAGACTTAGTTTTTATTTGAATATTACAGTATGTATTATATAGATCGTAGCCTACATATATCGCGGTATTGCTGCAATAGTGTCATATCTCGAAAATTGACAATTTTGAGTTATTCATCACCAGATAAAAGTACACGCCAAAATCCATCTTTTTCAATGAATAACTCAAAATTGTCATTTTTTGAGATATGACACTATTGCGGCAATGCCGCGATATGCAGACAAGTTTCTCCTGTTGATTTACAAGCTGATTTATTTGTGTTATGATGATTGAAAGTGAATATGATTTTAATTATTTAAAGAAATATCTTGCTAATAGTTGTATATTGAATACTGGACGAAACGTACGATGTTTGTTTTTCACAATTTGCAACGCTAAAAGTTTAGTTCTCGGCCATTTTTTGAATATTTTTGAAATATATTAACTACCCGTGAATGGGTATACATAACGAGGCAGTGAACAGATAAGTATTTTACTGTTATTTTGTTTGCATGTAGTTACCAGCAAAATTCATTTGTGGAAGTTATCATTGAAAAGATTTAAAAAAAAATGTGTTTTGCAAAAATCGATTAAAGATTATCGGAAACCACAGATGAAAGATAATGCGTGGGAAAAAATTAGTGAAGCTTTAAGTATACCTGATATACTCATTTTAATTTATTATTAATATTACAAATTTTAAATTTGTAGTTAATATTAATTTAGTAATTATTAATATTTACTCTTAATAATTTTATAAACTGCGTAAAAAATTAAATTATTTTAGACATGTATTGTTTTTATTTTGCAGTTACATGTCGCACATATATATTATTTTATATGTAACTTTGCTACGTATAACTGCAAAATAAAAAAAAGTACCTGCCCAAAATAATTTAATTTTTACTACATGTAAGCCAAATTACAAAGAGGATTTTCTACGCAGTTCGTGTATACGCAGTTTTAAAATTATTAAGAGTGAATATTAATTACTAAATTAATATTAACTGCATATTTAAAATTTATAATAATAATAAATTAAAATGTATATATTCATCAAGTCTACTTAAAGCTTTACTAATTTTCTCCCACGCATTATTCTTTATCTGTTGATTACGATAATCTTTAATCTTTTGCCGAACACATTTATCTTTTAACCTTTACAATAATTATACTTCTAAAAATGACATTTTGCCGATAACTACATGTAAATGAAAAACACAAAATACTTGTTTGCTGTCTCGCTACGAATGCTCGTTCACGGCAATACATTCAAAAAATACTTATTCAAAAAATAGCAGAGAACACATCGTACGTTGCAGTATTCAATGTGGCTTACTGTTGGCAAGATATTTCTTTAAATAGTTGAAATCATATTCACTTTCAATCATCCAACAGAGATAAATCAGCATGTAAATCGATACGAGGAACCTGTCTGCAGCATATGTGTAAGCTACGATCTACAATGCAACTGTAATATTTAAATGAAAATTATAAGTCTTTTAAATTTTGTAACGTAAACTGAATATTTTTCTAACCAATAAAAACGTTTACGTACAAATTAGTTTTTGGTGTAGTCATACAGTGTAGTGGACACGGCGCACACAGTCTATATACATATATAATATAGATCTCGGCTGTATGACGTTAGCATAAAAAAATCGTCTAACATCATAACCAATTGCTTCTCGTTTTGCCAACGTTAGTAATGCTGCTTAAATTGCTAACTATCTAGGAATAATATTTAAATTGCTATTTAAATTGCTATTTTAAGGCAATAATAACATATAAGGCAAGAGCGACATCGCTTGTAGCGTACATACTTTATTCTTAGAAAAGCATGGCATTGACTTTAGATAGAAGACTAGATAGTGTCAGTTAAGAAGATATCAACAACATTGATATGAGTTTGCATTTGCGGTTATCTGTGATATTTACGTTCACTCTGTTGCATCATCAATATATTACGAACGTCTTACTAATGCGTTGACAATCACATCAGTTGATTGAAAGCGTTCTCCGCATTGCAGTGGTACGCCTCTCTACTCGGTTATTTCAATTCGCGATATATTCGAACGCATTAAATCACCAGGCAGTGTTTTGTAATTTATCTCACAATTGTCTCAGTGCACGTGCGCTCGTGTGAGTGTACGCTCGTGTATTTGTGTGTACGTGTGTGTATAATAGATAGGAGACAAAGTTTGATAAGATTGATAGGAGCGAAACGGTCTACTGCGACATTGTACTGATTAAAAAGATTATCGATATTAATTTTTATTTTTTATGTGCTAATAAAAATTGAAGTTTAAAAATCTCTCATGCGTCCATTTCTACCAATGTATAGAGATTAACTTTAATCTCGGTTTAATTTACTTTTTATCTTTTTTAAGTTCTAAGAATCAGTTAAGAATTCAAAAAGATCAATTATCAAAAGATAAGCAGGAAGTTGAACTGATTATAAGATTAAAGTTAACCTATGTTGATAGAAATGCATCAGTCTGCAGATATGTATATATTTTTATTAATATGAATATAATCTTGGATGTGTCGTTGTTTTTCTCGTTGTCTACAAATAGTCCAGGCAAAAAAATATTTTAACTTTTTATTAAATATCATACGATCGTTTTTAAATGAGTGTAATATGCATGTTTGTGTGTGTGTGTGTGTGTGTGTGTGTGTGTGTGTGTGTGTGTGTACATACACACATCTATATACATATTACATCTGTTATATATAGATACATCTGTTGTATATCTGTTATAACAGATGTATAACAGATGTATCTATATATATATATATATATAT